AAAAAAAAAAAAAAAAAAGCAAAAGCAAAAGCAAATAAATAACAACTCCCTCATTTTCTTTCTTCTTTTGACTTGTTGGAAAAGTGGAATCAAATCATCTGATCTTGACTTTATCGCCACATCACTATTGTATTCGACTGCAATCGCTTCTTGGATTAATATTCATCAATCTTAACTCATGTCAAGTAGCATAATCTTTGAGTAAGATTATATCATTCACGCTCAGGTGGTTCTCTTCAATTACGGTTGAAGAATATGATTTTGTTTCTTTGAGATACTGCAATGGAACATCGGCTGGGCAGTACTCAATGGAGATTGTTAGAAGACACAGAACTTGCTACTGCAAGTTCACCGAGTGAAGGTAGATTTTTTCTTAAAGCATTTGTGCATTCCTTAATGATTTTCTTTACTTGTGTAAAAATATATCCAAGGCACGAACGTGTCTTACCTAAAATATGGTAGTTTTGCACAATAAGAATAATGTAGAATTTGTTTGATATGGTAAATAATTAAATTAAGAAAAATTCTGATTAGTTGAAAAAATATTTCCTTCTTTTAACTATTTGACCAATCAAACCAGTCCAAGATGGTAAATATATATTTTTGTATATGCCGTTGTATGGAAGGTAAAGATTACATCTCGTTTAGGGCATGAAAACCATAAAATTGGCAGCCATGAAATATGTTTACCTTAAACGCCGAGACACGGAGACAGTCATGACTAATTGGTTTACACATTTGGATTGCATCAGTTGAACACATTTTTGGCATATGTTTCGACATTTAAATATCATTTTAATTTAAGCAAGCCAATAAATAAATAATAATTAGAAATATCAAATATATTTTATTTTACTTACAAAGGTTAAAAGAATCACAATTAACATCGAGTAAATATAAAATATCCCACAAAATCAATTCATATTGAAAATATTGTTTATGTTACATAGTTTAGAAATGAAATGTGCATTACTTAGAGTAACACACTGTTATGCTCATTGAAAATCAACACAACACTCAGTAACACACCAAGTATAGTATGTTTTTAAATTCACAGTACAACATGAAGCAGCATGAAGGTGTACACTACTTATCCCGTCTTATTACAAAGCGAATCCGTATGGAAGGATTTATAGGTGGTGACTACTTTCACCTGTATCTAAAATTTCTTGAGACGGTTCTGTCTAAACTAAGAGAAGGAAAAATTTGCAATAGAAGACATAGCTGGACGTGCACCGGGTGCTCTGCTAGGCCTCTTCTCTGTTCATAATGTCGGGAAGCAAGGTGGTGGCGGTTGTGCATGAGTAAGCTTCGCTTTTTTGTTGAATGTTAGAAATAGTGTATTCGGGTGAAGTTTGGATGTATAATTTGTACGCTTGTAGTAGATTATGAAAGACGAGCAACTTAATTTTACAATGCAATGTTTTGTTACTCCACTTTTTAATCAAGAACCTTATAGGACGTGATTTCGTGAAGGTAGCTTGCTTAGTTAGTGCTTGCGCTAAGGAGGATTTAAATTTCATACTTGGTGTGATGTTCAATGTGGATCGAAGCATCTGGTTTCCCAGCTCGTTAAATGTTATTAATGATCCAAATAACTCATGAACTATTTTTTACATTAATGGTAGCACTGTGAGTTTCATAAATTTGTATAAATGAAGAAATTGCATAATTTATATTAATAACAATTTATTTTACTTGTAGGTAAACATAATATTTTAACGTAGTAAATAGTAAAAAAAAATTAAAGGAATTTCCTCCATTTCATTTTGTTGATGAATAAAATTGACTTGGCAATTATAGATCAACTAAAGGAAATTTTAATAAAGTAATTGTGAAATGTTGTAAGGAAAAGATACATTGAGAAGTGTTTTTTATAGTGCCTTATAGAGAACTGCTTAGCTCGACCTTTTGTAATGGATCATTGCCCCTATTTATAAGCCTTATAACAGGAGCTTTACACCTTTTATCAAATTAAGCTACAATGGATGACCTTGATTCATGTGTCATCACCTTGTTTGAAGGGCTTCTATTGGATGTTGAGTTCGATCAGTCATATCATCACTTCCCCTAGGACTTAGCATGTAGCATCGGTCATGACTGTATATTGTCTTTGCAACTATTATTCCCTTTTTGATTGGTGGGAGGAGTGGCACTGACTTGAGAAATGACGCTTGTCTTCTCTAAATTGGTTGTTGGAGAGGTGTTGATAACACTAGGGAACACCTCTTTAGTTGAGGAATAATGATTTGGAAAATGCTATTTGTACACGACCCCCTCACAAGAGAGGGGGCCCATGACCAATAAAAAAATTGTGGGCCCTTCTCTTGTGAGAGGGTCTAGTCCTGATGATTTTTATGTGGAAATGACAGTACACCCTACTTTTCAAGATTCATATTCAAAAATCAGATCAAAGTTTTCACTTTTCAAAAATCAGATATTTTATTTTTAAATATTAAATATACAATTTTCATCCCCAAACTTAGTTCATTTTCAATCCTCACTGTCTCTTACTACCGTCTCTTCTCTCCATATCCCTCTCTCTCCTCGATTACACCGGCGCCGCTGCACCCACCCCATCATCCGCCTCAGTATCGTCTGCCCAGGCCTCACGTCTCCCCCGTCGCCGTTGTTGCGACGACGATTTGCAGTGAAGCAGTGGTGATGTTGATTGCAGCACCGCCTCGAACGCCTCCGATTCGATCTGCTGAAGTTTTGTTTTGTAATGGAGTCGTTGAGGATTTCTTCAAGGATGGTTACCCCTCTGTTAACCCAATGACTTCTCCATTTTCAGAAACTACCTTAAAGAGATAACAAAACCAAGTAAATAATAATAAAATAATTTACTGTTTGTGCTCTAATCTTGTTATATATTTGGCAGGCTTCAATGTTGAGCCTCCGATTGGCAAAATTTATAAATTGTTTCGGAGTTTCTGCTAATTTCACTTCCA